AGAAAGAAAGAAAGAAAGAAAGAAAGAAAGAAAGAAAGAAAGAAAGATGGGAGAAAGGAGCAAAACTACAACAGCAAAAATTATATCTGTAAGGGATTCTCCTATATGTATATATGAACATTTTAATATTTTAATAACATTTTCAGTGAAGGGCATTCTATTTCCTTGTAGCCATCCATATATAATCCGTGTCTGTAAGCAACATGTTCATAAACTGCAAGTAACTTCAACTCTTCAATCCACTCAGTGATATCATCCTATTGTTGAAAGACTTAATAAGAAAGGCCATGGGAAATTAAATTTTGTTGTCCAGCCATCAGTTTTGTATAATGGGAGGTCATTCGAAATAATATAGAAGTCCAAATATAATAAGTTTTCTCCAAGAAAAAAAAATATATGCAATTACTTATTCCTAGAATATAATAATTTTAGGGCGTTGAAAGTACAGGCAGTCCTCGAATTGCGACCACAACTGAATCCAAAATTTCAGTTGCTGAGTAAGACATTTGTTAAGTGAGTTTTGCCCTATTTTACGACCTTTCTTGCCATAGTTCTTAAGTGAATCACTGCAGTTGATAAGTTAGTAACCCGGTTGTTAAGTGAATCTGGCTTCCCCATTGATTTTGCTTGTGAGAAGGTCGCAAAAGGTGATAACATGATCCTAGAACACAGCAACGATCATAAATATGAACCAGTTTCCAAACATATGAATTTTGATCCTATGATCTTGGGGATGCTACAAAGGTGGTAACTGTGAAAAACAGTCATTTTTCTGGTGCCACTGTAACTTTGAACGGTTGCTAAATGAACTTTTGTAAGTCAAGGACTACCTGTATATTCTTTAAATGAAACTTACTGTAGTATTAATATACTCATACAAATAGTAGTTGGTTAAATAAGATGTAATCTAAGAACTACTACAATTTTTGACACTGACATTAAGACAGTTTCCTGCTGCTTAAACAAAATGGGGTCTCTAATACCTTGTCCCATTCCATCTTTAAAATTTGCGCAATTTAAGATCCGACTGGTTTATCAATAGTGAGTGTGCTGCCTCCCCAGGACTGTTGGATTACAGTTTCTAGCAGTTCTTGTCTATACTAGCTGGAGTTGATGAGAAGCGAAGCCTTAAACAATGCTAAGCTTTTCCATTGAAGCAGAGCTTGGAAGCCTGCAATTAACCAGGTCACAGCGAGCAATCAAATTTCCATCACAGCGCTCTTGATGGGAAGACTTTGATACTTGCTGTCAACAGCCATGAAAACACGGATGTGTTTGTTGCACTGTTGCAGCCCGAAGCTGCCTACACACCACCCTGCATTGACCCCGTTTCTTAAATAAAAACACCACCCCGGTGGTTCTTCCTTTTCTTTTGTAAGCACCCTAGTATATTTCTCTGAATCTCCGTGGTTATATATAGAGGAAGCAGTCTCCGCAACTGTCTGGATTGGTCCTCAGTGCCCCCTCCCCTTGCTTCCCCCACTGCCCCCCCCACTCATGCCCTTGCATGATAAAAGCAGCCTGTCTTTCTCTCCTTATGTGTTTGGCATTGAAAGGAATGACAGGGTCATGAACTTGAGCTCCATACAGCTGCAGTCCTGCTGTATCAATAGAAACTCTCTTCTATATATAGAGGCTGATTGTTAGCATTCCCTACATACATGGATCCTGCACCCCTTGGCTTTCAGCTTCTTAAAAACCTCTGACCAATGGGGGGGGGGGGGCCCCAAAAGTGACTCCTTTCCCCCCCCCCCCCCCCCCCCCGCAATGGCTCAGTGTCAACTAATCTGTTCCTCAAAAGCAACCAGGCCCTTTTGGATGGAGAGTTGCTTTTGGTTTTCAGTTAAACGAACTTGGTTGAAATCACTAGCCAGGGCATGGCACCAAGACGCCTTTTGCTATTGGTTCCACATGTCATTTGCATGACAGCAAATCCTGCTCCTTGGGGGGGAAAGTAATCATGAAAGGCCACGTGTTTCCTGTCACCTGTTCTCCATATGCACGTTTTATTTTAAGAGTGGTGTAAACTTATATTACATCAAGGAAATGTACTGTTTTTGCATTCTCCTCTTTGCTAAGCAGTGGGAAATTCAAGGAGGAGAGAGAACCGGGGGTGCAATTTGCTTCTGAAATATTTGATTTAGTTATAAATATACAAGTAAAGATAAGCAACCATAACCGATCGAAGCCCTGTTTCTCAGCTTTTATATCTCACTGTTTTGTAGACAGTGGGGTGGGGGAAAATAATCAAATATAAGTTTGAGAAGGACAACATGCTTTATTGCCCTGACCTTTTGGGAGAAAAATCAAATAAGACCATCTTAATACTCAAGAAATCACAAAACAAGTCAATGCATTTTTTGTTATTTTCTCTTTAGTGTTTTCTGAGTCTCGGGGAAAGGTACCTGTAATTGAAGGGAGGGAGGGGTCAAGGAAATGAAGTACCTCTGTCTGAAACTTTGACCAGATTGTATTTAATGCTTATAGCTCGACTGAATCTGAATGATGTGGCAAAACAGCAGCGCCTGGACTTGCTCAACAATATTACCACCATCCTTGTTTTCATCACAGTCATTATCAACATCTTCATTACAGCCTTTGGGGTGCAGAAGACAGGGCTGTATCCAAACTCTTATGGACGAAGGTTCTACTGACTCTTGAAAGGGTAAGAAAGGGAGGGAATTCCTACCTAGCTCTTCATTTGAATAAGTTGATATTTCTTGGTGGACCCATTTTTCTTCCCATTCCTTCAGCTGTCTGGTTAGCTACTTCAGGAAAATTAACTTGGTAAAGTGTTACCGATATCCGTTGGGAGAATGGACAGAGAAATTTTAAGATGGACAGAAAAGTAGAAGGTAGTATGTAGTGTGCAGTGTTCTGAGGGGAATAGCATAGTGTGTGGTGTTCTGAGGAGAAAGTGTAGTGTTCTGAGGGGGAAGTGTAGTGTTCTGAGGGGAATAGTGTGGTGTGTAGCATTCTGAGGGGAAAGTGTAGTGTTCTGAGGGGAAAGTGTAGTGTTCTGAGGGGAACAGTGTGGTGTGTAGTGTTCTGCGGGAAAAGGATGCCAAAAGAAGTGAAAAGGGCTGTGTATTTGAGATCGGGGGTTACATGAAAGCAGTGTGTATGCTAAAAGAACATAAGAGCTCAAGAGTAAATGGGGACTGAATGAATCGAGACTGAATATAAAAAAGCAAGGGACCATCCCAAAGAAGCACATTAAGATAATTTGGCCATATGGAGAGAATGAATATGAACTGAGTTGGAAAAGAAATGCTTGAAGGAAGAGTGAATGAGTTGATAGGAAGAAGAAGAAGATTGGAAAACTTGTGGTTGGAGGAAGCTAATGACATCCACAAAAGAGAGATGTTAAGAGCTGAAAAGATGTATGAATCAGAATATGGATGTAATTGAAGCAAAGGCATTTTATAAAGATACAGTGAACAATGTTGGTGTAAAATAGATTCAGCCAACTTTTCTTTTTTCTTACATGTCTAATTTGCTTTGTGCATTATTTCTAATACTTTCCTCTGCTTTGCATGATTTTCATTGATTGATCACATGCTAGCAAGTCAGTCTCAACTCTTAGGGACCATATAGATCAAGGGCGTCAAACTAGCCCCGTCATATTGCCATTACGTGATGTATCACAATGTTTTTTCCCTTTGTGGACCTGGGATGGGTGTTGCCTATGCATGATGCATCCGGCCCAGAGGTAGTATTTAGCAGGTTCTGACCAGTTCTGGAAAACCGGTAGCAGAAATTTTGAGTAGTTCGGAGAATTGGCAAATACCACCTCTGTCCGGAGATTTTACAGTATCCTTCCCCGCCACACCCAAGCAACGCCCACAGAACTGGTAGTAAAAACAATTGAATCCCACCATTGATCTCGCCCACGGATTGCCAGTTTGACACCCCTGATGTAGATCAAGGGTGAGTAACTTTGCAACTTTACAACCTGTAGACTGCAACTCCCAAGAATCCCATGCTCAGGAATTCTGGGAGTTGAAGTACACAGGTTATAAAGTTGCTACTAGTTGCCCACCCCTGATGGAGATAGATGTTTTCCAGGAGAATCTTGGATAAAGTTGCCAATTCTAAAATGGAATATCATAATATGTATGTGTGTGAGTGCGTGAGTGCGTGTGTGTGTGTGTGTGTGTGTGTGTGTGTGTGTGTGAATCGTTTCATTTAGTACTGAAAAAAATGCAGTGCAAATGCTTCTGTTTAAATCAATATTATACAAATAGCTCTGGGAGCCATTTTGGGCAAAGAGGCGGAGAAACATATTTTAGAACATAATATTTTTATATTTCATGAGTTTATTCAATTTATCTCCTTTACATTCCATCAGCAGTGTTGGGATGGGTAGTGTGCATAACAGTCCTTAACCTTTTGATTTTCCTTGCAGGATGGTGCACATGGCAACTGGGAGATCTTTCTGCAGACCTTCAAGCCTGAAGGGCACCCTTTGGTTTTATTCCATTTATAAGCTTCCTTTTTTCTCAACCTTTTTCTAATCTATCATTCCATAACCAGATCTACACATCATTCTGGAAAAAGATTGCATACAACTAAAAAAAAACTGATCAGAAAAAGCACAATATTAAATATATACAGACCAAATCCTCAAAGGCCCCACTATCTATGTAGACATAGGAAACCTATTGCCTGTACAATTATTGGAATCCAGTCTCAGCCAGCATGGCCAATAGTTTGAGATGATAGGAGTTATACGGTAGCTGGAGCAGAGGTGGTATTCAGCAGGTTCTGACCAGTTCTGCAGAACCGGTAGCAGAAATTTTGAGTAGTTCGGAGAACCAGCAAATACCACCTCTGACTGGAGATTTTACAGTATCCTTCCCCTGCCATGTCCACCAAGCCACGCCCACAGAACTGGTAGTAACAAAATTTGAATCCCACCACTGAGCTGGAGAACAATATGTTCCCCATTCCTGAATTATTGCACATTGCAAGATACATGCTTGTTATTACACCAGTTGTTCCAAATGCAAAGACATAGCAGTTCCAGGATCACAGATTTTAGAGACATTTTCAGCAACTATTATAAACATTTTAAGATGTCGTATATCTAGCTTTCATTTCAGGAAAACTTACTATATCAATCAGAACATTGGGAAATGAGACATTATCCTAGAGTGGATGATTACGGCAACTTTATGATCAGTGGACTTCAGCTCCTAGATTTTTCTGAGTCAACTATGCTGTCTCTGGCATTCTGGGAGTTGAAGTCCACAGGTCATAAGGATGCCATAGCTACCCACCCTAGTTTTAGCATCATAGAGGCTTCCAAGCAAACATGAGCTCCCCTCCAATTGGGATGCCCCAATTAGCCAAAGTCCCATGCCATTTGCGTGGGGGGGGGAGGGGGGAGCAGCCTTGCTTTAGAAAGCATATGAATCTTAATTTTAAATTTGTATTTTTTAGTAATATTATCATTTTGTTAAAAATGCAAGCATTGCCTCTATATGTGATACTGTACACACCCTACAGTATCTAGTAAATAAGCCACAGTATAAATTTAGGCTAATTTTAATACTGGTAATAAGGTTTATAGGCATGCACATTATTTTAAGGCTTTACCGCTTAATCTTCTTTTGCAAAGAGTGAAAGGCTCTGTTTTGTAGTCTACTTTTACATTATTTGAAAAAGCAGTTGGGTTGTCACGGTTGCAACTGGGACATGCTTTGATAGTCCAAATATTATTTGCTCTCTCTTTATATGTTAAAATATACCTTATCCAAAGGCATTCTTTGATTTCCAAGCACTGCAGCTATGTTAAAAAATGAAGATTTTAGAGCTGTGTATGAGTTTAGATTTCAGTGAGTATATGATAGTATAAAACAGTGGTTGCCAACTGGTGGGCCGGGAACCACTGGTGGTCCGCAAGAAAATTTTGGAGGTCCGCAGAGAAATGTCCCCCCAAATCAATTAATCCTGGCTGCGTGGGAACCCAAGGCTGCGCCGCCCATATGACCTGCCCACCTGCTGGCCCCACCTTTCAGCCGAGTACAAACCTTACCTTGAATAGAGCCATGCGAGCTGGAACTGGAAGGTAAGACCAACGGTGGGAGAGTGAAATGCGCCCTGGGGTGGCTTGCTGATGTTGGTGGGAATGTCGATCCCATATTCCAGAGCTGCAGTAGTCACAAGACTGGCTCTTTGGTCATCCCGGAGCAGCTCCTTCAGTCCATAGCAGGCCGGTGCACCCAGGTGGAGGAGCAGCTGCTCCGGGATGACCAAAGGGTTAGTCCTGTGACTACTGCAGCTCTGGAATGTGGGACCGACTTTCCCACCAACATCAGCAAGCCACTGTCAGTCAAAATTCATAATAGTGGTCCATGGGATTTAATATTATGAGTTTGGTGGTCCCTGAGGTCCAAAAGATTGGTGACCCCTGGTATAAAACAGTGTTTCTCAGCCACTTTAACATCAGTGGACTTCCCAGAATTTTCCCCAGCCAGCATGAGGAAAATTAATTTGATCTGGAAGTGAAGACAGGGTTTATATTTCCTACTCCTTGGAGAGGGTGTCCCTATACTGAGGCCATTGGATATTCCTGAACCGTGATGGAACTCCATGTGCATGAGGTCAAAAGTCCCAAAGGTGGTTTTCAGGAGGCAACTAGACTTTCTTGGGTTGTTTTTTTTTTGAAGATGTTTTGCTTCTCATCCAAGAAGCTTCCTCAGCTCTGACAGGATATTGGGGAATGGAAGAATTTATATTCCTTGCAGACAGCTGGTTATTTGCCTCCTTTTAGAGGGTAATTGAAGCACTTGGAGGTTTATCTGTGTCCTCAGGATCACTGGAGTAGTGCTCCTGGTTCCTATAATCTGCAATTTTTTTTCCTCTGGAAATCCATACTCCCATACGCCCTCTAAAAGGAGGCAAATTACTAGCTGTCTGCAAGGAATATAAATCCTTCCATTCCCCACTATCCTGTCAGAGCTGAAGAAGCTTCTTGGATGAGAAGAGAAAAGTCTTCAAAGAAAAAAGAAGAAAGTCCAGTTGCCTCCTGAAAAAGCATCTTTGGGACAACCATGACCTGGAAGACTGAGAATATCTACAGACTATGCGGTCAAAAAGTATTATCCCAATCTCACAGTAGTTTAGTTGTTTGAAAGTAAGATGTTCCTTCTCACCAGAGAAGTTTGATTTAGTCCAGTGTTAGAGAAACTTGATTTATCAGAAGGGGTAAGAGACATTCTTTAATATTATATGCATGTTACATTTTGTGTTGGCTTTTGAGGGCTTAGAAAATGTTTCTGAGAAGGATTGTACTGTAAATAACTCCCCCTAGTGCTCCTTATTGGATTCAAGAAAGAGCAAGCAAATTGGTATTTTTATTTCCAGTTCTTTGTCTTCCTTATAGTGTGCTTTTTATATCCCAATAGCTCAATTCTATTCATTTTTCTACTTTATTTGATCGTCCTTCAACCAAACTGCTTCTTGATAAACCCAAGAAACTGAGAGGTTGTGCAGCGTTCTGAGTAAAATATTGGCTGAATTGACTCGCTTAAGAAATTTTGCATGTGTTTCCAAGGAAATATTTATTGAAGTTATACTTCCTCACATATTACTAGAGGATTTTGTACGATCTATTTTTTATGAACATGATATTCTCATATATCGGGAATAAAATTACTAGAATTTTCCAGGTACTGACTTTGTTCCCCTCTGTTTTGTCTCTAAGTATTTCTAATATTTATGTAATTTCTTACCTGTTCTTGAAATGTAGGACAGATGCAAAAATCATTACATGATAAATTTATTCCGTGATACAATTGCTATTTTTTAAGAGTTGAGTCACTTATATGTACTTGGGCAGCTATATAAATTTGTTTAATAGTTAGCCTAGTAAAGCAGTAAGAGATTTAAAAAGGTAATGTATAGCTTCTATATATTCAATATTGTATTCCTTGTTATTCACCGTGTTTATGAATTGATATCTTGAACAATAAAATTTAATTATCTGGTTAGCTGGAACCTATTTTATCCCAAGAGAATCCATATAATTTTTTTTGCCCTTGAATCAATCTTATAATCAAAAACAGGGGGGGAGGAAAGAGTGGCAAAATGTAAAAGTTATGTCTTCCCTTTCTGTCTGATATTAAATAACTATATAAGTGAGCAATGGATTCATAAGAGCTCATGCAGTAAATAGTTTGTCAGTCTCTAAGGAGCCATAACTATATGTATTGTTGACATTGCTAATTTTGTTTTAGTACCCTTCAGACTCAATCTTAACAAATTTTCAAGCAATTGCAAAGAATTGGAACACATGCTGAAATACAAGACAGAAAGCAAAGAAGCTCCTAATTTTAAAGGTTTTTCTCCAAACTCAGGTTTTCACACTGCTCAATATATAAAGTACAGATCTCTATGGGGAAATATTGTAGCTGGTCATGAACTGGCCCTAGAGTTGGCAATTCTCCCTGGGCAACAAGAGGGGTGTAGCTGGTGTAGTTCTGTTGGAAATTTGCTCCTCTTGGGTTTAGGTTTGACAGCAATTACAGTGCCAAGGATAGTGACGATAACTCGAATAGCAATTTGTCAATCCATGCAAGTGTCAAATAGCAATGCTTGAATAAGAGCCGTGGTGGCTCAGTGGTTAGAATGCAGTATTGCATGTTAACTCTGAATTCTACTGCCAGAAGTTCGATCCTCACTAGCTCAAGGTTGACGTAGCCTTCCATCCTTCCAAGGTTGGTAAAATAAGGACCCAGATTGTTGGGGGCAATAGGCTGACTCTGCAAACCGCTTAGAGGGGGCTGTGAAAGCACTTTGAAGCAATATATAAGTCTAAGTGCTATTGCTGTTGAATAACCAGAGACAGAAGATTAAACCCTGCAGTAGCCAATTTTGGAGCCATCACAGTACCATCTACAGTTCTCCTAACTTCCATCTGGGACTAGTCCAGGGGTGGGTTTTCAAAAATTTTAGCAAAGGATAGGACTTCCGGTTTGGGCTTCTTTGGCAATGGCTGAAATCATGATCGTCTGCGGTTTTGATCTGTGCTCACCACTGGAGCGCCCCGAGCCGCCTGGATTCGGGCTGAAGCCACCCCGTAGAGGTGGTGAAGAAGGGGGAGCCATCAGCGGGGTTGAGGAGAGCCACATCTCTCCTCCTCGGCTGGCCATCACTCCCTTTCCCAAAGGCGGCTGCAGCGGTGGTCAGAAATGGCCACCTCAAAGAAGAATCCAACCAGACAAGGCTGTGCAGGAGGAATTTTAAAGGAGAAAGTTTGGTTGACCAGGTTGAATGGAGAACATCTATTTAAGGTACCTGGAACCTGAATTTTAAAGACTAATACTATTCCTAAAAAAGATTTTAAGCTGCGAAAGAGAAAGGGAAAGGAAATGGAATTGGCTTTTTTTTCTCTAACATCGACAGTTTTAACTGATTTGGAACATTAAGAACATTAAGAAGAGATTCGAATAAGAAATTGATACTAATCCACTTTGACATTAATAGACTATTTCTAGCTGAAAATAAAGTGTCAAAGGGATAAAAGATTCTTGGATAATTTAAAAACTTTCTTTAAAAAAAGAAAGAAAGCATCGCAGGGAAAAAGGAAAAAAGAGGGTGGAATCTGGAAAATGGAGGAGACCACCTGGAACTTAAAAAAAA